CAACCCAACATTTGTTGGGCTAATCCTCCAAGTTTGGGTCACAATGGGCTAATCCACTTGGATTAGATTAGGGAAGGAAAGACTGTAGGGATATAGTAAAGCTACCATTTTTCCTGAAGCCCTTAAAAGTTCTTAAATTAGGCTTTGATGAACTGTATGAACTCACTATATAGACCTCTTAAATGAGAGATTTTAACAGATTTGAAAATCACTAAGCCTGGAACCCACTGCCCCTAGATGACTGGTTAACTCTCTCATAGCTTTGGGTCTTTGTTTAGCTTCTCAGTGATACCCTCACCCTGGCCCTTTATATTTTATTTTGAGATAAAGTCTAACTAAGTTGTCCAGACTGACCTCAAACTTGTAATCCTTCTACGGATAGGGATTTAGCTCAGTGGTGCCACCGCCTGCCTGGCAAGTGCAAGGTCCCAAATTTGATTCCCCAGTACCAAAACAAAAAACTTGTAATCCTCCCGTCTCAGCCTCCAGAGTAGCTGGGTTTAAAGGTGTGCAACACTACATCTGGATTCAAGATTGCTTTGTTGATGTGGATTGCATTCAGTCTGCACACTACTAAATGGTGTGGTTTCTTTAACAATAATTTACTACACAGAGGTGGAATATTTTTGCATTTATTTGTGTCATCTTCACTTTCATTATTTTATAGCTTTTAGTGTAGAAATCTTTCACTTTCTTGGTTAAATTTATTCCTTCCTACATAGCTTTTTTTTTTTTGTATATAGCTATGGCACTTGTTGATTTTTAGGTAATTTGCTATTACCGTATAGGTATGCTACTAATTTTTTGTATCCTGTAATCTCATTGAATTTATTGATCCAATAGTTTTTTAGTGAAGTCAAAATTTGCCAAACCTTGTTCTGTGGTCCACAATATAGTTTGTCTTGGTGAATGTTCTGTGTACACTTAAGAAAAATGTGTTTTGTGCTAGTATGGGTGTTGGGTGGAGTATTGTGTAAATGTCAGTTAGGTCATGTTAGCTGATAATTTCTTCCAAGCTTCTTTGTACTTGATAATTTCTATCTTCTCGTTCTATCAGTTATTGAGAAAGGTATAGAAATATGACTCTAAATGTAGATTTGTTTCTCCTTATAGTTCTACCATGTACTGTTTCATGTATTTTTAAGCTGTTATTGGAAGCATAAATGTTTCAAATGCTTATGTTTAACTGACCTAAGTATCATTATGAAATGACCTCTTTACCTTTTGCTATTATCTGATACTGCTATAACCACTGCAGCTTTCTTTTCTTTGCTTTTATTTATTTATTTATTTATTTTTTGTTTTTTTGAGACAGGGTCTCACTGTATAGTTGAGACTGACCTGGAATTCACTATGTAGCCCAGGCTGATCTCCAACTCACAGTGATCCTCCTGCTTCAGCCTCCCAAATGCTGGGATTACAGGCGTGCACCACCACGCCCGGCCCTGCCACTTTCTTTTAAGTAGCATTAGCGTGACACATATTTTCCATTTTACATTTTATATTTAAAGTATATTTCTAATAGCATCTAGTTGTGTTTTGTCCTTTGCTTTGACAACCTCTGCTTTTAATTGGGGTATTTAAACTATTTGTATTTATTGTGATTATTGATTATTGAAATTTAAGTTAATCATTTTGTTATGTAATTGATCTGTTCTTTGTTCTCGTTTTGTTCTGCCTTCTTTTGAATTAATTATGTATTGTTTATAACCTCACTTATCAATGATGTTTTTAAAGATATTTACATAATAAATTAGTACATAATTATTCATGTAATTACTGTTTCCAATGTTCATTCTGTTACGGAGCTCTCACTTTTCATCTGATACTATTTCCTTTTTTTCCTGAAAGACTTCAACATTTTTTTTTCAGGGCAGATCTTCTAGTGATTCTTTCTGAAAACACCTTCGTTTCCTTTGAAAAGCTTGCTTTCTTAATCTGGTGCCTTCCCCTTTTTTTTTTTCCCCAGTATCAGGGATTGAGTTCAGGACCTTGCACTGAGCTAAATTCCCCACCCTTTGGAAATTTTATATTCATTTTTCCAGTCAAAATATCCTGCACACCTATTATGTGGCAGGCACTGTCCTAGGCATTTGTAGTGACTAAAACAGAAAAAAAAAAGTCTTCATGAAGATTAAATCTTGCTCAGGTTAGACAGATAAAAAATAAGAAAAGATAATGAAAAAGGTGTAAGAGGTATGGAGAAGAGTAAAACTGAAGAAGGAGCAGCAGAAGTCTGGCCTAGTGATAGGGAGTTCTCAGCAAGATGGTTGGAAAGGTCTTATCCACCCATATGACATTGAGACAAAAACCTGAAGGAGATGCAGAAATGAATCCTGTGGATGTCCAGGAGAGGAGAATTCCAGCTAAACAGCTATTGTAAAGCCCTAAAGTTTATAGTTTTAAATATGCCTTGTGGCTCAGGGAGCAGGGAGGAGGGGCCCGTGTGCTTGGTGGAGAGCAGGGAAGCAAAGGGACCACACCATGGAGCACCTCCCAGGACTTTGGGAATGAGCTGGAAAGCTGCTCTGGGGCTTTGAGCTGGAAATGACGTGATCTGACTGTGAAGTTTTAAAAGGGTAACTCTGCTTACTCTTTTGCAAATACGATAAACTGTTTTGGAGAGGAGAAGGAAGAGGGGACTTGGGGAAGCTAATCAGGAGGTTATTATAATAATCCAGCTAGCAGGAATGATCATTCAGACTAGGCCTGTGAGAAGTTGGGTTTTCGATATTTTGATAATAGACATGAATGATTTGATGGATAGATTGGATATGGGTATGAGAAAAGAAGGAATGATTCTTCTAATTCTAGAGACTTAGAAGGACAGAATTACTTTCAGAGATGGAAGAACTGTGGGAGTCAGATGCTTAAAACAAGCCTACCACGTGGAACATGCTTTGTTAAGTATTGAGTAGATAAATGAATAAGGAGGTTAGGAGTTCGAGGTTGGGACTTTTAATTCTGAGATGGCTATTAGATCTTCAAATGAGATGTTGGTTGTGAATTAGAAGTGACAGTTTGGAGCATAGGGGGAGAGAAGTATAATCTGGGACTCTCCTGGAAGTCATTGTCACCATTTGAAAAAAAAATTATAAAATTTGGAAAGACTTGGCATTCTTGTAATAAGTGTTCCTATCCAGCAAGAGACATTTATGAGAATGTTTACAGAAGCGTTATTTGTAGTAGCTCTATACTGGGGAAAATACAAATATGAAGAAAGAATAAATTATGGTGTAGTCATAGAAAGGCCTTGGATGGTAATGAAATCAATGTACGTGCAACATTGATGAAGCCAAATGTAAAATTCTTTCTGTGTAATTCCACTTGTGTTAACAGAACTAAACTATGTTGTTAGAAGTCAGTATGGAGATTATTTTAGGAGAGAAAGAAGCAAGTAGTGATTGAAGACAGTACAAGGGGCCTTCTGGAAATCTGGTAATGTGTTTCTTCATTTAATGCATCGAATGGTCATGATGTGTTGTTTCCTTGATTCATCGTTCATTTTGCTATATACATTTATGTTTTGGTTACTTTTTGGTATATATACCATATTTCTTTTAAAAGTTCAACTGCTGTGTTAACATATTGTCTTCCAAAGAATTTGTTGTCTAGACTCTAGTTTTGAAAGTTGTGCTTAACTTCTAGCTGTCCTACTGGTTCTATGCGGTCATGGAACATACCGGATAATCCATATAGACTGTGGTGGGTTTTGCAAGTTCTCAGTACCAGAAAAGAGGTAAAATAACTGCCACTAGAGGGGTTTGTGTAGGGCTTAGCATATTCCCTTTGACACCTAAAGTGTTTGCTCTTTAAATTTGAGATTTTAAATGAATTAGAACTCAGTAAGAAATTAATGAATTTAAATATAGTAGTAAAGCTCCAAACTTACATATGAAACTGTAAGATAGAGCACTATATCTCGATGGACTGTAGGACTTTTTTTGTTTTGTTTTGTTTTGTTTTGTTTTGTTTTTGGTACTGGGGATTGAATTCGAGTCCTTGTACTTGAGAGGCAGGCGCCGGAACCACTGAGCCAACTCCGCAGCCCTATAGGACCATTTTAAAGTATAACTAACTCAAATTAGCTATATGTTAATTACTTTGAACTTTGGGCATTAAGTATATTATAATTATCACATCATTTATAAGAGATGTATGCATTATAATGTTTGTTAATGATATTAAAGCCACCTACACAGTAGTCATTTAAGACCCAATCCCACTCTCGACGTGCATAGTGTTCATGCCCTCCCTGCTACTTTAATTGCCTCAGCTCCTCACCACAGCTTAATAGTTTGGAACTACAGACCAAATCTAACAAGATCAAATATAAAGGGGGTAAATCCAAGGTCTTACATTTAGGTTTAAGATAAAGAAAGGAAAAGTATGATCTTTCACAAATGTAGGTGATGAGCTACATGTTGCTTTATTGTACCCCTGAAAAGGTTAGTGTGACAGTAGGCTACACTACTGCATGCACCAAGGAAATAGATGATACTGAGAGGATTATGTCAGGTTTGTGGCACTATATCTTGAATGACTGTAAAACTAGAACTGATCCAAAGAGAAGCATCTGGTTTCAAGGGGATGTGGAACATGAATTATTTAGCTAAAGAAAAAGGGACTCTGAAGTCTCACAAATTCTGTAAGGCATTATCTCTGTATTATAGAAAGGAAATTGAAGCTCAGAGAGAACAAATAATTTCTTAAAATGTAACTGAAAGGTTCTTGGCTTAGCTCTTGGCTCTTAATCTGGTACTTTTTTGTTTCAAAACATTGGTATTTATGTTCACCTTTTAAAGTGCTGGCTGATGGCTTGTATATATACTGGAGAAACTTGGAACTAAAAGGGAATGATTATAGATTGAATGAAAAGAAAGAGAACACTTAAGGTAGAAGGATGAATCTGAGAACATAGTTTGGTTATTATAACAGTAAATTTATCAGGATTACAGAAATATTTTTTAAAACATATTTCTCTCTGTCTGTTTTTTAAGGTTTTTGATTCCAATGAAGAATCTGGGTATCTTGTTCTCACCATAGTTATATCAGGCCACTTCTTCATTTCCCAAGGACAGACACTACTGGTAGGTTTTATGCTTAATAGTTTAATATGCAAATATGTTTCTATATCTCTTTAGCTTTACATTAATTTTTGTACCCTCATACTTCTTCCATCTCCAAATTCATTAAGTTCAACAAATTAAACATCAAACCTGCTATAATAGTGGAAAATCAGGGCCCGGGGATTTAGCTCAGTAGCACCTGCGTCTGCCTTGCAAGTGCAAGGTCCTGAGTTTGATCCCCAGTTCTGGGGAATATATGTATAAATAGTGGGAAAGAGAGCAGCATACTGAATATTGCCTTCCCTCAAGGAGTTTAGGGTTAATGGGATCAGAGTAGATCAAAGGATTGAGATTGACTGGTATGTAAGGAAGTGTTCTTAATTGGGGAAATTGATTTGAAGACAGTCTAGATTTACAGAGAAGACTGGGCAGGGTTTTCTGGATAGGGAAAACCGCAGATGCAGAGGGATAACTAAAAGGAAACAAAGAATAGTTTTTTAATTGATGAAGCCCTCCATAAATCTCCCAATTTTATAAAGATAAATTTGTTCTTTATTCTGAATATGTATGTGTATGTGTGTGTATGTATGTATGTGTATATATATTATATATATGTATATATAATATATATATATTTAAGGAAATATATATATGTATATATGTGTGTGTTTATATATATATTTAAGGAAATTTCACAATGAAGAAATATATAAGAACCACTTTGCTTGAAAGTTTAGGTTATGTAGAAACAAAATGAATGAAGAAATAAGACAATTATTAACTTCTAAAGAAGTTATACAAGAAATGAAATACTGTAGAAAGTTATTGCATCATTTAGCTAGGTATACTGTCCCCCCAGACCTAATGCATTCATAACAACTGTTTGCTGGATGTCTATATGGGCATAATTTATTCATTTAACAAATGTTTATTGACCAATTAGAATATGCTGGGCATTTTGGAGGCTGCAAGGGATATCAGTGAGCAGCAGAGAGAAATCCCTGATGTCAACGAGTGTCATCATTCTAGTGAGGAGAAACAGCGATAAGCAAATGGGCCAAATACATTTAAAAGACATTAATTTTGGTGACTGTCTTATTACACAATGGTAGCATCCCACATGTGTGTATTATCATGGTTCATCCTTCCACTTAATTAAAATGCAGCCTTGTCAGTGAGTGTGAGGTGACCCACAAAGCCATCTTTGTGTTCCTTGCAACTTGCAGAACTGCAGCCTGAGTTGCACTACTTTGCTTTATTGGCATTGTCAGTGCCTCCATCTGCCCTATGAGATGAGGTTTCTGTAGCTTTTAGGAAGGGATAGTCCCGACTGAGGGGCACCTAGTACATGGCTAGTTCTCCCTGGCAGGGTCATGGGTCTTTGCTGAATGGTGGCACAGGTGCAGCCTGGCTTTCTCAGGCACAGTGCTCTACCCAGTGCTTTGTCTCTGACCCATCTTTCTGTCCCTCTGTGAGTGTTGTACACTGATACAGGTTGCTTTGTATCATATGGGGAATGATGTCTGCACTACCGTGAAAAATTTACCAGCTGTTAAGTGGGTACTGTTGAGAAATATAAAGATAACCCTAACTCTACAGTTTAATCCATGTTGTGTGCATATATGTATTTGTCTATTGAGGGTTTTTTAAAATTGATTTCTCTTTATGTTGGGGGGGTGTTAGTGGGGACTGAACCCTGGACCAGTCCTTTTTTATTTTTTAGAGATGATCTTCACTAAATTACTAAATTGATTTATACTTTTAAAAATGTTCTTTTAAAATTATCTTTCCTGAGGTATAATTTATATGAAATGAAATTCAGATTGTAAGTGTTCAGCTAGATAGGTCTTGGCCCCTGCATGGCTACCATCGCAGTCACAGTGGAGGTCTTTCCAGGTGACCCAGCACTTGCATGCACACTTTGCAGTAAGGCTCCTCTGCCCACCCTCGGCACCCAGCAGCCACGGGTCTGCTATCACTATCATTCTGGCTTTTCTTTTTTAAACATATATTTTTAAAGTACACCTATTTTTTCACTCGCTGGGTAAATTGTGTGTATTTACTGTATATAATACTAACTTGAAGAATGTATACTCTGTGCATTGACTATGTCTAGCTGATTCACATATGCATTACTTTCATACAGTTCTTTGCCTTTACTCAAATTTCGTGTAACAGAGTCATAGAATATAATATAGCCTTCTGTATCTGGTTTCTTCTTTTAGCATAATGCTTTTGAGATTTGTCCATTTTGTGCACTATCAGTAGTTCACTCCTTTCATTAGCATATCTTTCCATTGTTGAACAATATTCCGTGGTATAAATAAACTTCACTCATTCAACTTTTGATGGATGGATGTTTGCATTATTTCCATCTTTTTTATAATAATGAATAATGCTGCTAAGCACATGTATATAAGCCTTTGTACGAGCATGTGTTTTTCTTTTTCTTTGGTAAATTCCCAGGAGAGGAACTGCTGGATCATATGGAATATCTCTCTTTAACTTTCTTTCTTTCTTTTTTCTTGGTACTGGGAATCGAACTCAGGTCCTTGTGCTTGCGAGGCAGGCACCGGAACCAGAGCTATATCCCCGGCCCTCTCTCTTTAACTTTCTAAGAAACTGCAAAACTATTTTTCAGTTTCATTCATTTTTTTTTCCCCTTTTTCTTTTTTGGTACTGAGAATTGAACTCAGGCTCTCATGCTTGCCAGGCAGGTGCTGCACCCCTGATCTACATCCCTGGCCCAGTTCCATTTGTATAGTATAAACAAAGTATGAGTGCCCTTGATATACCACATCCTCGCCAACACTTGGTATTGTCAGTCATTTTTAATTTTAGCTAGTAGGTGTGTAGTGGTGCCTTATAGTGGTTTTAATTTGCATTTCTTTTCGTATGCTTACTTTCCATTTGCATGTCTCCTAGGGGATGTGTGCACCTCTTAACCATTTTCTACTGAGTTGTTTACCTTCTTATATTTGAATTATGAAAGTTCTTATTCTGGTTAGACTCTTTTCATCAGAAATACGTTTTGCAAATATTTCTCCCAGTGTTTTGTTTTTGTTTTGTTTTGAACTGGGAATCAAACTCAGGGCCTTCAACTTGACAGGCAGATGCTGTGTTGCTGAGCTACATTCCCAGCCATCTCAGGCTTTGTTGTTGTTGTTTAGTATCCTTTGAAGATAAAACTTTTAAAGTCCATGTTTTTTTCTGCTCTTTCATGCTTTTTGTGTGCTACTTAATGAATTTTCATGTATTCCAAGATTGCAAAGATAATTTTCTGTTTTATTCTAGAAACTTTACATAATTGTAGCTTTGTATTTAGAACTATGGTCTGCTGTTAAATTTTTAGTATTAATACTTTTTTATTATTTATTTTACAAAATACTTTCTTTGCCTCAAAGCAATCTTATGAAATGTAATCATGGATCTTAGGGAATGTACTTTTAAAATTAATTTTAAAATAAACGTTAGTTTTTAATATGAAAGTTTAAGGATTCGGGTTTATTTTTGGCATATAGAGATCAGTTATTGCAGGGGTTTTTTAAAATTGAAAAACCCACTTTTCATCATTGAATTACTTTGGTGCCTTTTTGAAAATGTTTGCTAAGTACTCTATGTGTTGGCTTATTTCTAGACTCTTTTCTATTCTTTTGACCTGTGTGTGTCTTTACTGCAATCACACACACTCCTGATTTCTTTTGCTTTGTTGTAATTTTTTAAATCAGGTAGTGTAATTCCTCCAACTGTGTTCTCTTTCAAAGTTGTTTTGGCTATTCTGGGTTATTTGCATTTTCATGTAAATTATAGAATGTGCTTTCCTACAAAAGAGCTTGCTAGGATTTTGATTGGGACCGCTTTGAATCTATAAATCAGTTTGGGGAGAATTGACTTCCTACTACTGTCTTCCAGACTCTGAGCATGTTTTAAGTCTCCATTTATTTGTATCTTCTTTTAATTTCTCTCAGCAGTATTAAGACCAGTATTGTAATGATTTGCTAAATCTGTCCACAAGTGTTTCATATTTTTGTTATTAGAAATAGAATTTTTGCAATTTGGATATCTAATGGTTTGTTGCTAGTATATAGAAACACAAGATGAATATTAAAAATCATAAACTCATATATTACATAGCTTTTATGTAGACTTCTTAGGATTTTCTGCCTAACCCGTTACTGCAACTAATGACAGTTTTACCTTCTCCTTTCCAATCTGTTTACTCTCCCAGGCTCCTCCACCCTCTTCCTCCAAATTACGCTGGCTAGGACAGTGAGAGGTGATGTCCTTGCCTTGTTCCTAGTCTTAGGAGGAAAACATTCATTCTTTTCATCATTAAGTATAATGTTACCTGTACATTTTTTCAGACACTATGAGATGGAGAAAGTTCCCTTCCATTCTTAGTTTACCTAGTTGCTTTATTCTCCGTTAAGATTCTAGTAATTTCTAAATTAAAACTGTTCATGTATGTATTTAAGGTATTTAGTGTGGTGTTTTAACATACATATACCTGTGAAATGATTACTATAGTCAAGCTATTAACATATCATCACCTGTGTTCACTTCGGCAACACACATACTAACATATCATCACCTAATAAAGAGTCACTGTGTGTGAACATTTAAGATCTGCTCTCAATAAATAGAGTATTATTAATTGTAGTCACCATGCTGTTCTAAGGTCTCTAGAATTTCATCATACTACATAACTCAAGCTTTATACTCTTAGACCAACATTTCCCGTTTCTTCCATGCTTCTCTTCACTCCTAGTAACCACCCTTCTACTTTCTGCTTCTATGAAATCACCCTTTTTAGATTCCACATATAAGGAAGATCATGCAATATTTTCTTTTTGTTTATTATTTCACTTAGCATTGTGTACTTCGGGTTTGCTTATGTTGTAAAAAAAATGGCAGGATTTCTTTTTAAAAGCTGAATATTATTCCATTGTTTGTATGTATGCATGTATTTATCTGTTTATCCATTGATGGACACGTAGATTGTTTTTATTTCTTAGCAGTTA